CTTATATCAAATTAAAATATCAATTTAAAATGAAAGCAAAATTTTTGCTAATAACCTTTATATTAATAATTTTAACTAGTCTGATAGTTGGTTTATTAGATTTAAAAAAAAAACAAGAACTTTAACAATTTAAAAAATAAGACAAATTAGCAAGTACTCTTCCTACTGAATTATTAAAAAATAATATTATTAAAATAATAAACCTTTCTTTATTTATTAACATAAAATACTTTATATAATGCAAATCTAAATTATAAAAATATTTTTATTTATTATTTTTGAAATAAAATATTTAGTTATAAATTAGTATTTTAATAAAGTTCTTTTTATACTCAATAATCAAATGAATAAAAGATCTAAAAATTATTCTTTAATTAATAATATTCCTGTTCATATTATTTTTAATAAAATTCAAGTAAAATTAAATAATATACAAGTTAAATTTCTTCTATTAAATACTATTACAGTTTTTTAATTTTGTGATGCTAAAATTATTATTTATTAAATATCATTATAAATATCTTTTTATTAAAAATTAAATTGATATTTATGATAATTTGCAAAATAATATCATACAAAAAGGTTTGATCTATAATATCATCAGAAATTATTGCAAATTATTAGAAAAAAACTTATTCTTTACAAGAAATAAATCTTTTAACTCTAATTTCTATTTCTAATAAATATATTAAAGCTTTACTATTTATAATAAATAATATATATAATTTAATATATTATTTATTATTTTAAGTGAAAATAAAATGTAAAAACTTAAAAGATTAAATATTCATTTACTAAAAAATAATCATCTTACTGCAGATAATTATATTCATATTAATGATGAAATTAAAAGTATACTTACTGATGAAAAAAATATTAAAAATGATAACAAATAAAAAGAATAAATAGAATAAAAAGAATAAATTTATTGATGAAATAAATAAAAAAAGTAGATAAGGTAATTTAACAGAAACTGAAATTTATAAATAAAATGATAAGATTTTTATATGAATAAGAATCAAAATTAAAAAAATTAATGAAGAAATAAAAGTTTTAAAAGATTTATATAAATAGGTTAGATTGATGATCAATAAAAAATTTTAAATAAATTGGTCTTTATTATTTAAAAATAGAAATTAAAGAGTTATTTTATTTTTAAAAATAATAAATTTAAATAATTTTATTATTAACTAAATTAGCATTTTTTCTATTTAGCTTTTCAAACACAAAAGTAATAAGTTGTATTAAAATTAAGATAATTTTAAATTTTTATAATAATATATCATATGACTAAAAATATTTATTTACTTGGTATATTAGTATTGTTATTTTTTATTTTGTTATTATAAAAAAATAATTTAGTACTTGTATTTTTTTTATAATATTATTTAAATTATTTAAATTTTATTCTTTAAACTATAAAGGTTTATAGGCAAATTTGTCTACTTATTTACTATAAATTTCCTTTTAAATTAATTTTATAAATTTATAATATTATAGTAAATTTTATTTTTTAATTATATAATAAATAATTTAAGGTTATTTTTATAAGCTAAAATTTGTAATTTTTTTAAAAAATTATAAATTAAAAAATTTTATTATTAACCTTTAACCATCTTATTAATATTTACTTTTAGTAATATTAATCATAATAGAAAATGATAAAATTTATTATGAAAAATAATTTTAATTGTTACAATTTTTATAATTTACTAAGAAATTTTATGATTTTTATTCAAAACTTAATTTTAAAAATTAAATTATTTAAAAACTTCTTAATAACTTAAAATTTCTTCTAATAAAGTTGATAAAATATATATTAAACTATATTTTTATATAATAATTATATTATTAACATTTAAAATTTTATTTTTTATTAAAAAATTAATACTTTTTTATGTTTATAGGCAATTTGCCTACTTTACAGATTAAGGAATAATAAATAAATGTATATATATAAACATTTTTAAATAATATTAATTTATTGCTTTATCATGTTATTCTTTAAATAGAAAAATAAGTAATTTTAAAATTATATTAAAAATAATTAAAATAGTTATAGAGAAATCAAATATTTTTTAATAATCATTAATTCTTTTTATATATAAAATCTACTATAATAGATTCTTTTAATATTAATATATATCTCAATATATTAAAGAAATTCTGTAAAAATTAATTTTATATCACTAATAAGCTTCACTTTTTACTAATATAAAAAATAAGAGTTATTGATATTTATAATATATATGGAAAACCATTTTAAATAAGAAAAACAGTTACATAATTTATTAAAATTTCTTTATAATATCTAATATTTTTTAAGAGATTATCTGTCTGTTATTTTTTAAATGAAATATATATAAATTATTTAAGTAAATTTAAAGTTTTCTTATTATTATACTATTATAATATATATTAAATTCTCTTAAATTTCACAACTTTATATTATTATTAACTGTTTAAAAATATATTTAAAAATAAAAAATGATAAATTACTGAGTCAACTGAATTTCATTCATTAAAAAAGAAAAAATAAAGAAAAGTCATAAGAAATATATTTATTATATGTAGTTTGTAAAAAATTCTTTAAAAAAAAATACTATTAATATGTAATCTTTTTAGATTATAACTATTAAATGTAGTATTAGAGGGTAAACTCTTTTATAGTTTATATAATAAAATTCATAGTTTTCAAGTTAAACAAGATTTATTATATATTGAAAAATATATTCAAATTTTTGACGAATGTATGATTTATCTGCGATATACTGCTAAGTATATTCATACACTATTAAGTATATTTTTACATGTTAAGTTTAAAATAAATATTAATTATATTACTAATATAAGTATCTTAAAGACGTTTTTAGAAAAATCAAAAATAAAGATTTATTGATAATTAAACAAATTAAAAAGGTAAAAATACTAAAATAAGAAAATACAAAAAGAGAATTAATTACAAATAAAAAAAAGTAGCCTTACATTATCTTTTACAAAAGAAGGTTGCATATAACTATCACAGAACTGATCAAATTGTATCAAGCAATTGATAATTATTTTTTTAATGAATTTAGTCCTTTATATATATATTTAATTTATGTCAAATATATTAACTATATTAAACATATCTGATATATTAAATATATTTAATATATTTAATATATTTGATATTTTTAACATTTTATATTACGTTACATTTGCAGATCATATGTAGATCATATAATTATTACCCTGTAACAAAACTAAGAGAGTAAAAGTTATAAATGAAAAAGTTATAAATAAAATATCTTAGATATATAAAAAAGATATAAGTATAAATATTAATCTTACTTGAACTATTAAAATAATGATAAAATTCTTTATAAAAAAACCTATTTAAGAAAAGAAAATTTTATTTATACATTTAATAAAATATAAAAAATACTTTAGAAATTCAAACTGAACTTAATTGATTTTTTTAATTAACTCTATTTATTAGTTTAATTATATAAATTCAATGAATAAATAATAGATTGTATGAAAAATTAATGATACTTATATATCTTTTCATTTCATTGAATAATACTAAAATTAATTATTTTAAAATTAACCTTATATACTATTTAGATTTAATAGATATAAGTAATAAAAATTTAAACATAATAGTAAATCTTAGTATATTTATTACAGTAAATATAGTAGAACATAAAAAAAAGATATCAAAAATTCTTTTAAAAAATATTCAAAAAATAGCTTTAGATTAAATATTGATAATTATCATAATATTCATATTTAAAGATAAGTTATTACTATTAATATATATTAGATAATCTATATGATCATAATTTTAGTTAATCTATATTTTACATTAGCGATTCTATATAATGGAGTAATTAATTCAAAAATTAGTGAATTAATTTTAAGGTATATTGATAGGTAATTTATTATAAATCTTAGTATTCCTTATCATAATTATATATAAGATTATAATAAGAAATTCTTTTGATAATGAGATTTTGATGAATAAATTAATGAAATACTAATTAGCTAATAAAAAAAAAGATAATCATTATATATAAAATGCAATTCTTATTGACTTCATTAAATATTTAAAAGTTTTATGAAAACTCTTCAAATTGTAAATAATCAATAATTAATATAAAACTATTTATATAATTATATAATTTCTATTATTATGGATTGGTTTGATCAATTATTTATTAAAAATTATTGTATACCAATTTTTCTTTATTAATAAAAATATTTTTATATTTGTTATATTATTTTTGCCTATTATAAATACTTTTTATGTATCTTTAAATTTTTATGAGCTTATTTATTTAAAAATTCATTTTTATTTAATAATCTTTATAAAAGCATATTTAGAATATGTAAGAATTTCAATAAAAAGTCACAACTATAAAAAATTGATCTAATTCTTCATATTATATGCTTGATATAGATTGATATTATTGATATCATTTATTTGATATATAGAGATATAATAATAATATAATATTACATATCTAATATAAAAATTATCTTTCTCTTTTAAAAATTTTTAAAATTATAATCAGATTAAAGAAGTTTATTTGAAATAATTATTAGCTAAACCTGCAATCAAAATTATATTAGTAAAAAATTCTTAATCATGTAATTTAGAAGAAGTTAAAGATTACATCTAGATTTTATCAGCAAAATTTTGTAATCTATAAGTTTAACTTGAAATTTCGGATATTAAGCTTGATAGATTTTATAGTAAACTACTTTAATAGAAATTTTTTTGAAATGTTTAAAATTTAGGTAATTTAGTAATATTATGTATGACTTTGAATTTTTTCTATACATTAATTGATTAATAATTTAGCTAATCAAAATCCTTTTACCTTATAAATTACATGATACCTTCTTAAATCTGATTTATTTTCCTAATAATGAAATGTATTTTATTATAGTAAGGTAGATATATTCTTAAGATTGCTATAATTCTTTTTATAATAATTTGAGTCAAGAATTTTCTATAATGATAATAGTACTAAAGCACAGACAATTTCAATTATATGTTTCTGGTTTTGCATAACATCTTGTGCTATTAACTTCGAAATCTCCGAACAATCTGATAAATTTTTGATATATTTTCTACATATGCTCAAGCACTACTAACTAGATGATAGATGAATAAACATTCTGTGAATTAATGAGCAATAGATTCAGTAGTATACCGCGAAATATAAATCAAAGCCTACAAGCTTTGATATGTTCTGTTTATTTTTATACCTACGAGTAGTTTACTAAAAAAAAGCAAGCTTGAATAATAATTATAAGATTTTATAACCATATTTTAAAAGAATAAATGAGCCAAATATTGGCACACTTTAAATTTCTAAATTGTAAAAATTAATATATAAAAAAAAAAAAGATGAGAAAATACAACTTGTTAAAAATTTTAGCGATTAATAATGTCAACTTACCTTTCCTCAGACGAGACACATGATAAGCATGCGAATAATCAACAAGTAAGTTGATATTAGAACTATATCGATCTAACAGAAAAGTAAAAATTTCCGGATTAGGAGCTTCGTATGTTACGTTCTCAAATTTCTGATCGGATGTCATCCTGTCCAAAATATTAGCAAACCACTGTTCTTTTTTATGTCCTATCAATGGTATGTTTTGGAAAATGCCATCGCTTGCGATTAAGATATTGGAACCTTTAATTAGAGTTGTAAGAAAGTCGTATTGATCATGAATCTTTTTCATGACGTCATCTACGGTGCCATTGTAGTTGTCAGAATCAGAATCGTCGGAGCTCTCATCGTCAGAATAATTTAAACATCGAGCAACTTTATTAGCTGTCTTAAAGATTTGAATTCCTGGAATTCCCATATTTGCTTTGAAAATACAAATCTTTGCTTTAAGCTTCAATCCAATCGAGTTGGCGTTATTAACGATTCGACTTAGATACGAGCGTTCAAGGATAATATTATCAAAAAGATTATTAATTTCCAAGTAATCAAATCTAAATTTAATCGGATCATTAATGATATTTATAAAATTATCATTCATTGTAAGAAAAAAAAAAAAAATTTGAAACTTACCCAACTTCTTTACATTTTTTCAAATAAATTTTAGTTGACAAGGATGAATCTTTAATTCCAGTACCTAGGACACAAAGTTGCTCAAGTAAACCCCCAGTTGAAACTTCAATATTACGACGATGGATGAGCTCAATGGTTTCCTTTAACGCTGAATCCGGGAAAAGAGAATAAACCGGGCCATCAAACTATATAAAAAAATAGACATTTTCAAACGTTTTATCGATATTTCATAACTTAAATAATTTCTTGATAAATGGAAATGTACCTTAATCGATTCAATCTTATCAAGTCCAATATTATCTAAAAGTTTAATTAAGTAGGTTTGCCCACCATTATGAGTATGATACGGACCCAAGGGAGTATAATAAGGAATACTAATATGAGTTTTGCCAGAAGACATTTGACGAATAAACTGACGCGATATTGGAGATAACCGGTTTACAGAGCGAGCGTATATTTTGAAAGGATTCATTTTTGTGAAAGCAAAAGGTTTCTTCAAGAAAGGTTTGTTTCTTCAGGATTTGACGTCAAAAGTTACTGTTTTTAATAATTATACTGGAAAATATCAATCACGTGACAATATGGTGTCATAATAAGGATATCAAAGGAAAAAATATCGCATGAAAAATAAATATTCTATATGAAATTAAATTTGTAAATCATATATAAGAAATAGAATGTAAATGTAAAGATTTTATCATAATTTATGATATTTATTTTACTGTCAAAGAACAACTTAAAGGTACAGTGGACCTGCGATAGCAATTATTAAAGAACCAAATGAACAAAAGTATAAGCCATTTTCGTCTTACTAAACCTTTGAAGTGTGTTTACGAAATCGGTAATAGCATCACATACATCGGACAAGTCATTTTAGCAAGACACCGATGATAAGAAGGAATTAAGAGTGTCACTTCAGGTTGGTGGTACAATTGCGAATGGACACAAGTATACGTTGCGAATATATAATTTCCTTTGCACGTAGTTATCCGTATAGTCAGAGACGTTACCAATAAAAAATCGATCAACTTTGGGAAGAACATCCGAAAGCAAATAAAGTCACATATCAGGAAAGGTTTTACACATAATATTAAGGAACTAGCGGCCGCCCAGGAAATAAACAAAAATACAAAGAAACGAAAGCTAATGAATGGAATTGTCAGCATAGGGTACTTTATATTATTTACACCGATTCTTTTCTACAAGCGAAACTTTTCATATCATCTAATGAACTAGAGCCATTTTAGAAAATGAGGGTATTAATAGGATCCCATTAAAAAAGATAGGACCATGAAATAAATATGTTAGAATAATCGGAGCATATATTGTATATGGGGCCAACTTAGTAATGATTCTGATTTCTTTAACAATATTCAACTAACGCATATTCACATATGCGAAGGCATAAATGCAGATTCGAGCTTATTTTTTCTTGTCCATATTTATGCTCAATTAGTTTGTTCATTTCGAAACTCTCTTCGTTTGAAATTCTCGACAAATTTTTTTTTTAATAAAGTGTGGCGCAGAAACTTGGTGTTTTTAAATTTCGTCATAACACCGATTATTCGAAAAAGAATATCTTTTACAATTTTTTGACTTTATATTATAAATGGGAAATTTAACAAGTTGTAAGAATTTAATATCAATTAAATGAAAAAAAAAAAAATCGTTTCTTGTAACCAATTCATCAAGTTATTTCTTAATCGATCCAGCTTCCACCTTTATTAACAATAGTACTATCATTATTTTTTTTATTTGTTTTTCAATTTTTAAATAAAAAAAAGATAATTACATATGTATATGAAAATTAATATTTTAACCAAGAAATTACAAACAAGATATTTCTTTAGTAATTCTTATCACCATTATCAGGAGCATAAAAAAAACCGGCCATCAAAACTGAATACGAAAGGATCAAAATTGATCCTTTAAAATAATTAGATTTCCCTTCAATATAAGTATAAGTTAACAAAAATACCGAAAATACCACCGAGAATACATCCCATCGAGGAAATACTAATCTGTTAAAGAAAGAGAAATCAATTATTATAATTAATCATAAAAATAAAATTTTATTTCTTTTAAATAAAAAAAAAACAGGAACGAGCTTTTTTTTTTTTTTTTTTATCACCAAATGATTACTTACGTAAAAGTCTTATTTGAAATATCCTCTTCGTCAGATCTATCAGAATTATACCAAGCAGAAAAGGCAACCATGGCAGGAATTTGTAACAGACAGACTTGTAAAGCGTAAGCAGAACCAATTTCCATACTTAAAGCAATATTGCCATACAAAGCAAAAGACATGGCATTAACGAATTCAGTTACATTAGGTACTAAAGCAAATAAAGTTAAGCCTAAAAACTTTTCGGTGACGGTAAAATTATTCAATACAACTCCAACATTCCCCACCAAGATTTCTGCTATAAGAGAATATAATGCGGTACAAGATAACAATACTATTCCACTTTTGACTTTACTCCAATTAGGAGAATCATGACCACTAGGTTCTTCTTCTTCTTCGGGTTCATGAGCAAATCTAATTAACGAAGCATTAGAGGGGATGAAATGACCTTGTGATGTTAACGTCGCTAGATGATCTAAATTATGTATGTTATTTTGAACAATTGGATGTGAACTTGGACCAGGAACCGAGTTTGGTCTTTGCGGTAAAGTTGAGGTAGTAGATGCATTATGCGATGATGGATGCAATGTATTAGAATGTGAATTTGATGGATGCAGATGTTGTGAAGGTGTATCGTGTGGGTTTGGATGTGGTAATAATTGTTGAAGAATATATTCTGGAACTATTTTCTTATAAATTGAAGTTGATCTCGAGTTTGAATTGTCTACAAATGTATTAGCATGATGTCCCGTTTGCCATACTAGTGCGGCGTGTGTTCTCAACGTAAACCATAATCCGATAACGTATGACTATAAAAAGACGTTTCAGAACATTAATTGATTTTATTTTTTTTTTAAAAGAAAAAAAAATTATTAATTTAATAAATACTCACTAATACTAGGATAACGGAACAAAACAACATTAGCGGTTTTACGCGTTCTTTGTATAATGAAGTAGAAGTTGGATCGACTTGAACGTGGGTACAAAGTTGACATTCATCCGTTAATTGTGTATATCCTTTACATGGAACACAAGTCATCTCATACTAAACGCCCAAAAGGTAAAGGAAGAGAATTAAATTGATTGAAATTGAAAAACTTGAAGAGTAAAATCATTACGTACTGGAGCGTAAGTCTGAAAGAATAAAGTTGGAGTGAGAGCGCCAATAATAGCCATAATAAGCATAGTAGATGTAACTCCTGATAAAAGGATCATGGTTGTTTAATAAGGGTTCTCTTCAAATTAGGTTAGAGATAAAATCGAAAACTTACCAGCAGATTTTGCGTTGAACTTCTGTTCTTTACGTTTAAATCCACTACTAATCATACTAACGCCGGGCATTAATAATACACCGGCCATTAAACTACCAATTATACTGCCTTCAGCCACTTTACCTTTACCTTCAACTAAAGTAATCGCATACAAGATGATTTCAACGATACTACCAAAAGTAGCGTTGATAACAGCTCCTAATCCCGCGGAAGATTGAGCCGAAATTGAAGCCACCGCCATACCAATGAAATAACTTAAAGGTATAACTGATACCAGTGACAATGTAAAGAGAAACTTTTGTGAGGTAAAAAAGTAATCTTCAAATATTTTAGTTAGGAAACAATAATCTATGATAACAAAGAATACTAATGGCATTAAATTTATAAATAATATATTGATTCCATCATATGTATATTTAAAATATTGTATTCCGAATGCTTTATATGTACATAATAAAATGAGCGAACGTTGGTTGGTAAGTAACGATAATGAGGACCCCGGTTTAAAATGTAATGATAATGGGTATTTACGTAAATGTCTACTTAATACAAATGTTAATTTTGCCATTGGAATCGAAAATACACATAACCAACATAAAGCAGATATAAATAAAAACATGGGAGCTAAAAAAGCGTAACAAAATTTTTATTAATTAATATTAAGAAAAAAAACAATCTTATCTTAATGATTTAATTATTAGCTAAGCCTGCAATCAAAATTATATTAGTAAAAAATTCTTAATCATGTAATCTAGAAGAAGTTAAAGATTACATCTAGATTTTATCAGCGAAATTTTGTAAGCTATTTTATTTTGTAGAATTTAATATAGCATTAATTCTAATAGATTTTATAGTAAACTACTTTAATAGAAATTTTTTTGAAATGTTTAAAATTTAGGTAATTTAGTAATATTATGTATGACTTTGAATTTTTTCTATACATTAATTGATTAATAATTTAGCTAATCAAAATCCTTTTACCTTATAAATTACATGATACCTTCTTAAATCTGATTTATTTTCCTAATAATGAAATGTATTTTATTATAGTAAGGTAGATATATTCTTAAGATTGCTATAATTCTTTTTATAATAATTTGAGTCAAGAATTTTCTATAATGATAATAGTACTAAAGCACAGACAATTTCAATTATATGTTTCTGGTTTTGCATAACATCTTGTGCTATTAACTTCGAAATCTCCGAACAATCTGATAAATTTTTGATATATTTTCTACATATGCTCAAGCACTACTAACTAGATGATAGATGAATAAACATTCTGTGAATTAATGAGCAATAGATTCAGTAGTATACCGCGAAATATAAATCAAAGCCTACAAGCTTTGATATGTTCTGTTTATTTTTATACCTACGAGTAGTTTACTAAAAAAAAGCAAGCTTGAATAATAATTATAAGATTTTATAACCATATTTTAAAAGAATAAATGAGCCAAATATTGGCACACTTTAAATTTCTAAATTGTAAAAATTAATATATAAAAAAAAAAAAGATGAGAAAATACAACTTGTTAAAAATTTTAGCGATTAATAATGTCAACTTACCTTTCCTCAGACGAGACACATGATAAGCATGCGAATAATCAACAAGTAAGTTGATATTAGAACTATATCGATCTAACAGAAAAGTAAAAATTTCCGGATTAGGAGCTTCGTATGTTACGTTCTCAAATTTCTGATCGGATGTCATCCTGTCCAAAATATTAGCAAACCACTGTTCTTTTTTATGTCCTATCAATGGTATGTTTTGGAAAATGCCATCGCTTGCGATTAAGATATTGGAACCTTTAATTAGAGTTGTAAGAAAGTCGTATTGATCATGAATCTTTTTCATGACGTCATCTACGGTGCCATTGTAGTTGTCAGAATCAGAATCGTCGGAGCTCTCATCGTCAGAATAATTTAAACATCGAGCAACTTTATTAGCTGTCTTAAAGATTTGAATTCCTGGAATTCCCATATTTGCTTTGAAAATACAAATCTTTGCTTTAAGCTTCAATCCAATCGAGTTGGCGTTATTAACGATTCGACTTAGATACGAGCGTTCAAGGATAATATTATCAAAAAGATTATTAATTTCCAAGTAATCAAATCTAAATTTAATCGGATCATTAATGATATTTATAAAATTATCATTCATTGTAAGAAAAAAAAAAAAAATTTGAAACTTACCCAACTTCTTTACATTTTTTCAAATAAATTTTAGTTGACAAGGATGAATCTTTAATTCCAGTACCTAGGACACAAAGTTGCTCAAGTAAACCCCCAGTTGAAACTTCAATATTACGACGATGGATGAGCTCAATGGTTTCCTTTAACGCTGAATCCGGGAAAAGAGAATAAACCGGGCCATCAAACTATATAAAAAAATAGACATTTTCAAACGTTTTATCGATATTTCATAACTTAAATAATTTCTTGATAAATGGAAATGTACCTTAATCGATTCAATCTTATCAAGTCCAATATTATCTAAAAGTTTAATTAAGTAGGTTTGCCCACCATTATGAGTATGATACGGACCCAAGGGAGTATAATAAGGAATACTAATATGAGTTTTGCCAGAAGACATTTGACGAATAAACTGACGCGATATTGGAGATAACCGGTTTACAGAGCGAGCGTATATTTTGAAAGGATTCATTTTTGTGAAAGCAAAAGGTTTCTTCAAGAAAGGTTTGTTTCTTCAGGATTTGACGTCAAAAGTTACTGTTTTTAATAATTATACTGGAAAATATCAATCACGTGACAATATGGTGTCATAATAAGGATATCAAAGGAAAAAATATCGCATGAAAAATAAATATTCTATATGAAATTAAATTTGTAAATCATATATAAGAAATAGAATGTAAATGTAAAGATTTTATCATAATTTATGATATTTATTTTACTGTCAAAGAACAACTTAAAGGTACAGTGGACCTGCGATAGCAATTATTAAAGAACCAAATGAACAAAAGTATAAGCCATTTTCGTCTTACTAAACCTTTGAAGTGTGTTTACGAAATCGGTAATAGCATCACATACATCGGACAAGTCATTTTAGCAAGACACCGATGATAAGAAGGAATTAAGAGTGTCACTTCAGGTTGGTGGTACAATTGCGAATGGACACAAGTATACGTTGCGAATATATAATTTCCTTTGCACGTAGTTATCCGTATAGTCAGAGACGTTACCAATAAAAAATCGATCAACTTTGGGAAGAACATCCGAAAGCAAATAAAGTCACATATCAGGAAAGGTTTTACACATAATATTAAGGAACTAGCGGCCGCCCAGGAAATAAACAAAAATACAAAGAAACGAAAGCTAATGAATGGAATTGTCAGCATAGGGTACTTTATATTATTTACACCGATTCTTTTCTACAAGCGAAACTTTTCATATCATCTAATGAACTAGAGCCATTTTAGAAAATGAGGGTATTAATAGGATCCCATTAAAAAAGATAGGACCATGAAATAAATATGTTAGAATAATCGGAGCATATATTGTATATGGGGCCAACTTAGTAATGATTCTGATTTCTTTAACAATATTCAACTAACGCATATTCACATATGCGAAGGCATAAATGCAGATTCGAGCTTATTTTTTCTTGTCCATATTTATGCTCAATTAGTTTGTTCATTTCGAAACTCTCTTCGTTTGAAATTCTCGACAAATTTTTTTTTTAATAAAGTGTGGCGCAGAAACTTGGTGTTTTTAAATTTCGTCATAACACCGATTATTCGAAAAAGAATATCTTTTACAATTTTTTGACTTTATATTATAAATGGGAAATTTAACAAGTTGTAAGAATTTAATATCAATTAAATGAAAAAAAAAAAAATCGTTTCTTGTAACCAATTCATCAAGTTATTTCTTAATCGATCCAGCTTCCACCTTTATTAACAATAGTACTATCATTATTTTTTTTATTTGTTTTTCAATTTTTAAATAAAAAAAAGATAATTACATATGTATATGAAAATTAATATTTTAACCAAGAAATTACAAACAAGATATTTCTTTAGTAATTCTTATCACCATTATCAGGAGCATAAAAAAAACCGGCCATCAAAACTGAATACGAAAGGATCAAAATTGATCCTTTAAAATAATTAGATTTCCCTTCAATATAAGTATAAGTTAACAAAAATACCGAAAATACCACCGAGAATACATCCCATCGAGGAAATACTAATCTGTTAAAGAAAGAGAAATCAATTATTATAATTAATCATAAAAATAAAATTTTATTTCTTTTAAATAAAAAAAAAACAGGAACGAGCTTTTTTTTTTTTTTTTTTATCACCAAATGATTACTTACGTAAAAGTCTTATTTGAAATATCCTCTTCGTCAGATCTATCAGAATTATACCAAGCAGAAAAGGCAACCATGGCAGGAATTTGTAACAGACAGACTTGTAAAGCGTAAGCAGAACCAATTTCCATACTTAAAGCAATATTGCCATACAAAGCAAAAGACATGGCATTAACGAATTCAGTTACATTAGGTACTAAAGCAAATAAAGTTAAGCCTAAAAACTTTTCGGTGACGGTAAAATTATTCAATACAACTCCAACATTCCCCACCAAGATTTCTGCTATAAGAGAATATAATGCGGTACAAGATAACAATACTATTCCACTTTTGACTTTACTCCAATTAGGAGAATCATGACCACTAGGTTCTTCTTCTTCTTCGGGTTCATGAGCAAATCTAATTAACGAAGCATTAGAGGGGATGAAATGACCTTGTGATGTTAACGTCGCTAGATGATCTAAATTATGTATGTTATTTTGAACAATTGGATGTGAACTTGGACCAGGAACCGAGTTTGGTCTTTGCGGTAAAGTTGAGGTAGTAGATGCATTATGCGATGATGGATGCAATGTATTAGAATGTGAATTTGATGGATGCAGATGTTGTGAAGGTGTATCGTGTGGGTTTGGATGTGGTAATAATTGTTGAAGAATATATTCTGGAACTATTTTCTTATAAATTGAAGTTGATCTCGAGTTTGAATTGTCTACAAATGTATTAGCATGATGTCCCGTTTGCCATACTAGTGCGGCGTGTGTTCTCAACGTAAACCATAATCCGATAACGTATGACTATAAAAAGACGTTTCAGAACATTAATTGATTTTATTTTTTTTTTAAAAGAAAAAAAAATTATTAATTTAATAAATACTCACTAATACTAGGATAACGGAACAAAACAACATTAGCGGTTTTACGCGTTCTTTGTATAATGAAGTAGAAGTTGGATCGACTTGAACGTGGGTACAAAGTTGACATTCATCCGTTAATTGTGTATATCCTTTACATGGAACACAAGTCATCTCATACTAAACGCCCAAAAGGTAAAGGAAGAGAATTAAATTGATTGAAATTGAAAAACTTGAAGAGTAAAATCATTACGTACTGGAGCGTAAGTCTGAAAGAATAAAGTTGGAGTGAGAGCGCCAATAATAGCCATAATAAGCATAGTAGATGTAACTCCTGATAAAAGGATCATGGTTGTTTAATAAGGGTTCTCTTCAAATTAGGTTAGAGATAAAATCGAAAACTTACCAGCAGATTTTGCGTTGAACTTCTGTTCTTTACGTTTAAATCCACTACTAATCATACTAACGCCGGGCATTAATAATACACCGGCCATTAAACTACCAATTATACTGCCTTCAGCCACTTTACCTTTACCTTCAACTAAAGTAATCGCATACAAGATGATTTCAACGATACTACCAAAAGTAGCGTTGATAACAGCTCCTAATCCCGCGGAAGATTGAGCCGAAATTGAAGCCACCGCCATACCAATGAAATAACTTAAAGGTATAACTGATACCAGTGACAATGTAAAGAGAAACTTTTGTGAGGTAAAAAAGTAATCTTCAAATATTTTAGTTAGGAAACAATAATCTATGATAACAAAGAATACTAATGGCATTAAATTTATAAATAATATATTGATTCCATCATATGTATATTTAAAATATTGTATTCCGAATGCTTTATATGTACATAATAAAATGAGCGAACGTTGGTTGGTAAGTAACGATAATGAGGACCCCGGTTTAAAATGTAATGATAATGGGTATTTACGTAAATGTCTACTTAATACAAATGTTAATTTTGCCATTGGAATCGAAAATACACATAACCAACATAAAGCAGATATTAATAAAAACATGGGAGCTAAAAAAGCGTAACAAAATTTTTATTAATTAATATTAAGAAAAAAAACAATCTCATCTTAATGATTTAATTAATACTTACCAATGATTAGGAAGAACCAAAAGTAATAGACTACCCCAGCGAATCCGATTTCCCTTATCGTTTTAAATAAGTTGAACTTTTTTAAATTTCTCATCGTTATGTTATTCTTCCTATTCCTTTCGTAACTTTTAGTACGCCCTAATAAAGGCCTTCTCTCACTATTAATGTCTTCATCTGTGGTATATCCTCCCGTGACTTCACTACCTCCAGTAGCACTTTCCCTTTCTATGCCAGTAATGATCATAGAAGTATCCCTTGCCATAAAAAAATCATTATGATTCATATTTCCTACTCGTTCTTGTTGTTGTCTTTGTCTTCTTCTCAAATCTTCATCAGCTGCAAACCATTCTTCATCTTCAACTTCCGATCTTTCAACATATTTACCAAAAGGCCAAAATATATAGTAACTTAATTCCCTTAACACCCTCGCATATTTATACCCTCCTCCTGGTGTGAAGAGAAGGAAGATAGATATTATAAAAGATATTAGTGCTAACAACCAGCCACAACTTATCGTCCATAAAATATTTCCCGGGTATGGATACAAATCTGATGAAGGGGTAGAATGAAGTGCTGAGTTTGCATTTCGTGTTATTGATCGCGATTTTTTATATAACGCTGGTTTCCATAACGAAAAACCAAAAGGATGTGTTGCGTTTATTGCCTTGTAAGAGGGAAAGAAAAAAGGGGGAGGGGGGAATGCGTGAGAAAAGATCGATTAATCAAATTTCTTTGATAAAGAATTCACACATACGTCTTGTCGATCCTTAAGGGTAAGTTCGTGATCGCTACCGCTTAAAGGTTCATCATCAGCATCGTCATTATCATTATAATCTTGATCCAAATCAGCATTATTCCTTAAACTATTAGCACTTTTATGTCTTCGATAAACAGGTCGTTTTTTTAAACCTTGTCTTCTCTTTGAAGATGCATCATCGTTATCGTTATCATCACCATCATCATCATCATCATCATCATCATCATTTGATACATCTTCGCTTGATGGTGCCTGCGATTTACGTCTCGTTAATCTATGCGACGGACGATGATTTCCTCCGGTTGTTGCGTTAGTGTTATTGATGTTTGTTGGTGAGGAACCCATTAAAATAGCTGATGGTTGATTGTGATTTCTTGAACCGTCGCCTAACAAGTTATTATTAGTAGGACTTCCACTTCTTATATCTCCTCCACCGCTTAATCGGTGCGATTCACTATTATTTTGGGACATTTTCAATTAAAAATAAACGTCCGTTAGGAAAAAAAAAAATCGTTTATTGGATACACTTATATTTAAAAAATTTTTTTTTTTAGGGGGTTGTTATGCATATAACTTGTTTAAAAACGAGTTTTGACAATTTTTTTTTGGTACAACATATGATACAATTGTACATAAAAAATTACTGATAACGAACGGAATGTTTCGGTGGCAAGATCATCGATAAGCAAGAAAAAAATGCCTAAACATAATTCCTCAATTGGATTAGGCAAGCTTGAATATTATACAAATGGTTAGTTTTTCCACGCCAAGTGCATTTTTTACTGATTTTTGCTTATCCGAAAGATATTTTTTTTTTAGGACATGTGATTTATGGGGAGGATTAACTGGTTTGGTAAATTATAACCGTTGTTAGATATCATTCAATTATCAAAAATTGTGATAATTACAAAAGGCATTAAAGTGGGTTGATCTTACAAACAATTTAAAAATATCAAAATGTTCTCTAGAACGAACGTATCTGTATCATATTAATTATCTATTTTTGTAATTAATTAGCATTTAAACATGCATATGCCAAGTGTTTTGTGAAACTCGTTTATTATTGGTCAAATTGGGTATGGGAATCAGCTTGATCGAATTAGACAAGTTAGGACAAATGACATCATCATTTTATTATGATGACGTTCCACGTAAGGAGTAAAGAATTCGTGGCGGAGGTAAATTAATCAAAGAAAAGGTGATGAACAAATTGCGTAAAAAACATTTTATTTATTTATATTTATTATATATTCGTAAAAGTACTACATAAGGGAAGCAGTTTATTGGTGATCACGGTATTTAGGGTCAAAGGTAAGTTTAATAATTCATCAAAAGTCACATATTTACATTTAGTTTCTGATATTTGTAAGGCATTTCAAAAATTAGACGTGCATTCGTCGGGTAAATTTAATAAAGTATATTGATAAGGAAATATGGTTTATCTTTGATTTTGATGAAGCATACAATGCTCCTTCAAGTGTTCCTTATACACAACTAGATTTTACTGAATTTTTAATAGAGATCATGATAAAGTGTTGATATTTATCTATTGAACATTTGACCTTTAACATGTGGAAAGAAATTTGATGATAATTAAAAATATCCCATCCCATCATCATCAGTATGTCATTGCTATCACTTGTATTAATGATATCAGAAGTTTCCTTTATTATATATAAGGAGAACTGTGCTCACCATCGCTACTTTGTTCTGAAACTTCATTAGATGAACACATATCATTTGATATTGTTCGTTCAACCGAAAATATTTCTTTCTTAGTCAATTCCTCTTCATCATCAGATGAACTTTCTTCACTACTATCATTTCCTGAACTTTCATCATCCGAAGATGATTCACTTGAATTTTTCCTAGTATCACCATCTGAATCCGAATCGATCGATGTGTTCATATTTTGTAAAGGAACTACTCTTTTTCCAACGGAATTGTCATTCTCGGAACCGGTTTCTTCATTATCACTACTACTATCGCTCGAACTCGAATCTGATTCGGATTCGGATGATGGACTTCCGGAAGTGCTATTCACTTGATTGTTTTTTTTATTTTTATTTTTAGAAGCAATCTTCTTAATTGGAAGATTAACAACGTCGATATCCATATGTTCTGAATCAGAATAGTCTGATGAAGTGTTATCTGATGTAACTAATGAATTGTTATCTACATTTTCATCAAAATCACTAATTGTGTCATCTTCAGAATTGATAGTTGGAGCTGACTTTGGTCGGTTTGGTTTTTCAGGTATATTATCATTATACCTATTTAATAATTCATAAAGAATTTCTGTTGAAATATATATAAATATATTAAAAAAAAAAAAAGAAAATTTGTTGGCGCGTTTGGACAAACTTTGAATTCTATAAATAAACAGGTGAACTTACCTTGAAAGTCTTTCTCTCTAAACCCATTTACAGTGTATTTTAAATGACGCCAATGCTCACACAATAACTCACGAGGCCTGATATAGATATTAATATTAAGTAAAAGGATAAGCATCATATACATACAATAATAAATGCTTAATCTATGAATAATTACCAAAGCTCCCATTCCTCATCTGCTAGCTTATCCCATTCTATCAAATATTCATCTGTCTCATTCAATTTTTCTAATCTTTTATTTTTAATTAAAAAAA